GAGAGTGAGGTTGGAGCGTGGCTGGTGAATGAGAGAGTGAGGTTGGAGCGTGGCTGGTGAGCAAGAGTGAGGTTGCAGTGTGGCTGGTAAACATGGTGATTCTTGTCAGATAATACCTGGGCCATGTAACCAGTGCAACTTCTTAGCTCCCAATACATGCCGACCTTGGAAGGACTTGAGAGTTTCTCACAGTACTTGAGTATCATTTTATTACACTTAAATGCTACCTGTTCCGAAAGATGCTTGCTGATTCACAGCACATATGTTGTTGTGGCCCTTATACCCGTATCTTCCCTCCCTGCTCACACACACAGCTCTCAGCCCTCACCACTGAATCCTCCCTCCCTGCTCACTCCTCACGCTTTGGTGTGTCCATCTAACATATATCCCAATGTGTCTTACAATGCCTCATCTCCTTGTTACACTTAAACCTTGGTAATAAGAGGAGCTGGGGGCCATTTGGTGGTTTACGAGTGCCTGGCCCACAGGAGCTGCCCCACAGATGTCTGCAGGGAGAGGGAGCTATGTTAAAGAAGAAAGAAGAGAAGCATGAGTCGGCATGTTTGAGTCATTGACATTGAAATACGAGTTGAAGAGTGATCAGACACTTCCTTAAAACAGTAAGAAACTAATGCGACTCTTGAGTGAAATGTTAGCTCCTACAGGGAGAATCCTGGAATTTTATAATACAGCATGTTGCACAGAGAATGGACGAGGTAATATTTCCATTACAGCCGTGCCGGTCTGCTAGCAATAATCTGAAGAGACACAACAATTCTATAAGGTTCTAACTGACAATTTCATATCACAGAAATGCTAGGTTAGAAAATTACAGGGTATTTTCAGCAAAGTCAGAGTTTTCAATAGGCAATATAAAAAAAGACATATTTCCCAGGAAACTTATTTCTGTATGAGACTCTAATACACAGAGTACTGTAAGTTGTTGGGATAGTTGTAAATTATCGTTTTCATTGTGTGTGTGCATATGTTACATATGTGTATTAGCATTTTTCTGTTGCTGTGACAAAACAGCACAGCCAAAACATGGCAGCAGCAGCAGGAAGCTGAGCGATCACGTCTCAACTACAAAAACACAGCAGAGAGAAGAAACCAGAGGTGGACAAAGCCCACCCTCAACGATGTACTTCCTACAGCGAGGCTGTGCCCCGGAAACCTCCCCAAACAGGGTACTGCCTGGGGGCCAAATGTTCAAATGCCCTAGACTACAGAGGATATTTCTCAGTCAAACCACCACATTCTCCTTCCTGGTCCACATAGGCTCATGACCACATCATAGTGCAAACGTATTTAGTCCAACTTTAGCGTCCACTTAGCCTTTCATGGCCACGGCATTGATTGAAAGTCCAAATTCTAAAGTTTCTTCTGACATTCAGAGAACCTTTAATTGTAACTACCTGTAAAATAAAAAGTAGACAATATACTTCTAACATACAGCACAGAATATATATTTTACCGTTTCAAAAGGAAGAAATGGGGTATACGAAATACTGGACCGAAACAAGACCAAAACCCATCAGAGCATATGCCAGATGTTGTAACTAACATTGTGTCTAATGCCTGGGACTTTGATTTCAAATTTCTATGGCTTTACCCCCACCAGCTTTGCTGCCTGCAACACACTTCTCCTCTGCGCAGGTTTTCTTGGCAGATCTTGTGGCCCTGGCATCTCTAATATCTTAGGTTCTCTACTAACCAAGACTTTGACTTTTGTAGTCTTATTCAATGGCCTCTTAGGGTTTCCTGACCTCCCAGGTCCTTCATTGAGGTAGGAACTTCCCCACTACACAATACCCAGCCTCAGCGACTCTCTGAAACCACAAAGAATCCATGACCCTTTCATGTCGGGAGTCCCGCAAGGGGACCAGCAGGCAACACTGGAATTGATGGAACACGGCTGGGCACTGGCATTCATGGAACACGCCTGGGTGAGCCTTGGAGAGATCAAGCCCTGAGGATGAGGTCCTCATGCTGTTAGTGAGCACAGCTCTGATTGTTGCCTTCCTGGTCACCACATCCCTCATAATCTATGAGTTGTATGAAAGCTCTGGGGGTTTCTAGTCCCTCACTGGGCAGTGTTACTCGTACTTACAATAATAGTGATTTTTTTCCAAGCATAGGTGCTGGAGCAGATTAATGATTCAACCACCACCTTAGGAAGAAGTTAGACATGTAGATTGTTGGTAAGGTTAGGTTAAGATGTTTCTGTTAATGCTTTTGAGGTAGATCTTGGGGAACAATTTTTAAAAAGATATACCTTTAATAATCGAACAAAAAACTCACTGAAGTCAGGGGACAGGAACAATGGCAGCCTGGCTATTGCTGACTGATGTCCTTTCTTGCTAGGATGGATTGGTGATCAAAGGTGATGATTAATTCCTTGTATCCGTTTCTGCCATCAGCTTCCTGATATATAAATATATATAAATTGTTGATGAGTGGTAAGCACCCTAAGGATTTAAAGTAGAGCTGACTTGTTGTTTTTCATATATAAATGTTTAGATTTGTGATTCCTTTAAGTTTTTTATAGGATTACCTTTTGAGATAAATTATAAAATATTTGGTCTTTTTTTTTTTTTGCACACAAAATGCAGCCTGCCAGCAAAAGAAGTAGTGAGAAAAATACCTTGCTTGCTTACACTCTGTTAATCTATAACAAGTTACTTGGACATGAATGTATGTGAGTTCTTGGGACAATTTGTTTTTTACCTGTAATACATAAAATGTTTAATCATGCAAGGGATTTGAAAAACATGCTTTTTAGTTGTACTCATTGTAACCATTCGCTTAAAAAAAAAAAGTAACCGCACTGTAATTTTTATTCTGCTTCAAAGATTTTGCTGGGGCGTATAAGCTGTAAGGCAAAAAACAAAGATACAAGAGACGGAAAACGCCCGGGTAGAAGAACAGAACAGAAAAGGAGTAGAGTAAAACAAACGACAGAAAGAATAATGAAATGAAGAACTAAGCTTTGGCCCTCAGAAAAGTCCTGTGTGTCTGTCTGTCCAGTGTTTGCCGGCATCTCCTCTTCAGTTTCTCTGACCTGCTAAGGGCTTGCCATTCATCAGCACCCTAGGTGAGATCCTGATGTGTTGGAGATGTGTGTGTGTGTGTGTGTGTGTGTGTGTGTGCGTGTGTGTGTGTGCGTGTGTGTGTGTGTGCGTGTGTGTGTGCGTGTGCGTGTGTGTGTGTGTGCATCCCCTTTTCGCCAGCCCCAGAGAGTTAAGTTCTACTCCCTCAGATGGAAAATTCAAGCTGAGTGATTAGTTCACCTACTCCATGGATCCGCCTCCACCTCTGAGCTGCTGGAGGCTGGCCCTCACGGCAGCAATTCTTTCATTCTGTGTCATTAAGATGCGAGGTGTTCTAGGAGAAGAGAAGTGATCCGATGGAGAGTCAAACATGCCACAGTACAGTTTGGTTAACAACGCCTACATGTCAATGGCTGCTGTACTTAGAAACCAATCTCAGCCTCAGAGCTATTTCCTGGCCTTTGTGTACTTCTGAATCAGGTTCTCACCCCGGCTCACAAAAGTATCTGCAACTGTATCCAAGTTTTCTCATCAGCTAGATTATTTCAGTTCTCTGACTGTGGATGGAAAACCTTTAATTGGTGGTGGTAAACCTGTGTGTTTGGACAGAAACACGTCTGCCCCTGTATCTGGAGAATGAGAACTGGATATGCTTAGCAACCTTTTTAAATCTTACCAATTGTAAAGCCTTTTGTGATTCTGTTTAATTTTTTTTCCCATTCAACTCCCCTGCCTTTCCTCTTTGCTCTCTTTTTAGCCATCTTCGATATGGTCTCTTCTGGCACCCTGGCTAGATTCTGTTGGAAGTCGGGGCCTCTTCTCTTGCTACTCCCTGTTCCTACTATTTTGAAAGCAATAATAGTGCTTGAAAAAAAAACCCCAAATAAACATCTCGATTACTCCTAAGTAAAGACTCATTCTGTGCTCTTATAACGCAGGCTGGTCTTCAGTCCACTGTAGCAGCAGAGCATGGTCCAAAATTCCTGGTCCTCCTGCTCCTACCTCCCTCAGAACTCATTTTTAATCATGCATGAGCTGCTTTCCTAGAAAATTCCCAGAGAAAAAAAAATCTTAGTTCCAGGAAAGTTGGTTACCTGCCACCCTTGCTCACTATGGTTTTCTTTCCAGATAGAACTGAATGTCAATCATATTTGAGACCCAGGGTAGGGCATGCAAGCTGGAAAGATTTCCCAATTCATGGTACAGCTCTGAGCAACCACAAACAGCCCAGTTCTTCTCTATAACCCAGTGGGGGAGTAATCAGCAAGAAGCTCCGGGCTTGCAGCTTGGCTTCGGCTACAGCCTGGAATTCAGGATGTACGAAAGCCAAGGGCCCCTGTAAAGGAAGGGAACAGTGGGTATCTGTCACGAGCATCAGGATCAGTCCATTTGGATGCAGGCTCTCGTGTAAACTGAAAAGACTTCATTACATTTAATTTGCCCTGTTTTTGATTTCTTGAAAGGATTATAGTGGTAAAACTTAAATCACACTGAAAATTCGAATTTTCCTTAGATTTCCACATGTGCCCCTGTGCTGGGAAGTTTAAGCATCACCTCACCATAGCCTAGACTCATCTGAGGTGAGAGCCTCACCTGAGGGATTGTGTAGATCATCTCTGCATGTCTTGGTGCGGGGGACTCGCTTGATGGTTAACTGAGTTGAGACGACCCACTCTGAATGTGGGCAGTGCCATCCCATGGACTGGATCCTGCACCGTGGGAGAGTAGAGAGAGAAAGCAGGGAGAAAGACAAGCAGGCAGCTCGGTGCTCTCGGTTGGGGTGTTTGTGTTTCGATTGGCTGCTAAGGGGTCCTCCCTTGACCATTGGTGACCAGGGGCTGGGACTCTCCAAAGTTACTTCTTGTTAGGGGTAACAGAAATGAAACCAGGACAGCTGCTAAGGGTTGGATTGCAACTGAGGACACACTCCCTAAAGCCCCAATCAAATAGTCAGCCAACTATTTCACTGGGAGAAATGATTAGATTTAGAACCCACGGTTAAAGTCTGGCAGAGGAGAATTTGCTCAACATACTGGGACATGTCTGACTTTTCAGTTTGCTCTGTTCATGGGCACGTCTGGCATCCTACCAAAGTCCAGAGGGTTTCATACTCTCTGGTTTTCTTTGTCTTGAGACAAGGTCTCTATGTATGTCTGGTTGGCCTAGAACCTGAGGTGATCCTCCTGCCTCCACCACACCCTGCTGGCTTTTTCGGTTTTCTTCTGCTCCTTCTCCTCATCATCTGGAGTAGAGTGTGAGCGTAGGTCGGGGAGAGGCGGCGGGGGTGAAAAGAAAAACAAGCAGCTGTGAAACAAGGGTGGTGGGCTGCAGAGCTTCCATCTTCCAACAGGTTTACTGCAGACACCTAGCCTTCCACCTTCCAACAGGCTTACTGCAGACACCTAGCCTTCCATCTTCCAACAGGTTTACTGCAGACACCTAGCCTTCCACCTTCCAACAGGTTTACTGCAGACACCTAGCCTTCCATCTTCCAACAGGTTTACTGCAGACACCTAGCCTTCCATCTTCCAACAGGTTTACTGCAGACACCTAGCCTTCCATTTGCCACGAGATTTCGACTAGAACCCAAAATCCTAAAGGTGAAGACAATAGCAATGGGAGAATTCAGAGCAGAGGTGATTCCAGTAACAGTCGCTGTCATTTCATACCCAGAACCTTAACCCAGAACGTCCCCCAGAGAGCCGAGGCCGTTACTCTGGTGGGAGGTTAAAACATTCTGTGCACTTCTCTGACAACCAAGCACCTATTCACAGCTGAAGGATTTTTGCCTACAAAAGCTGTGCCTCTACCTGGAAACCATTGCTAGATGATTACAAAGACTCTCTTCCTCTAGTGCCTACCAACCAGAAGGAATTCATGGTTTATGGTTTTCCAAAGAAAAGTACTAACCCAAGGCCTTGCATGTTTTTTCCAGAACACTTTCTAGAGGAGTCAGTGGGTCACCTACACGGTGGGTTGCCTGCACAGTGGGTCACCTACACAGTGAGTCACCTGCACGGTGGGTTGTAACATGTAGGGGCCTGTTTGTTGGGGGTTTCTGTCCTGCCCATTCCCCCAGCTGTTTAGTCCCAGAGAAAAATCACACTGAGATCTCTATAAGTTATAATTCTGATTAGTTCTTTAGGTCAGGCTTCTTATTGGCTAACTCTCACATCTTGATCAACCCATTTTTCTGATCTATGTTAGCCATGTGGCTCAGTACCTTTTTCAGTGGGGCAGCTCACATCCTGCTGCTTCGGTGATCTGGACAGGAGTAGGAGGAATCAACTTCCTCCTCCCCAGAATTCTCCTGCTCTCCTTGCATCATTTCCACTTCCTGTCTGGTTTTCCCACCTACACCTCCTGCCTGGTCAATCAGCGTTTATTTAAAACATGATTGACAGAATACAGACAATTCTCCCGCACCACTTCCCCTCTTTTTTAAAAAAACAAAGGAAAATATCCAGTTTTTGGGAATGTGGGCATAGTATTCTAGGCTACTTCCTGCTGGTTGGGGGTGCTGATAATCTTATGGGGACCTAAAGAAAATTTAGAGTTATGATCAAAAAAAAAAGGAGGGATTGATTGGTGATGGGATAATAATATATTGGTATTTGTGAGTTATTGTTTTTAGAAAATTGTATTGGTGTCGATTTTTGTACATTGATATATTGAATATTGTATGTGAGTATGCTTCCACCTCTATTTGTATTGATATACAAAAATATATTTACATTCCTACCTCTGATTAAGATATTTATGTAATGATATACATCGTTTACATTTGGACGTCATTGTCCTCACTCATTGCACAGTTGTTCATTCTCTTAGTCTTCAAGTTAGATAGAAATCAATAGTCATATATGTTTATTATATTTATATTTAGACTAATCAGGTTATTTAGGTGCATAGAGATCATACTTAGTATAGATAGTATAATCTTCAACCTCTTCGAAGAGCTGTGAAAAATGGCCTTTAATCTAACTCATAGTTCTATAGTAGTGAGACACAATCGCTCCTGGCATCACCACTCTACTCCCGAGAGAACGTTGAGCACCAAAGACACTCCACCTGGAGCTTGTCTTCTTCCAGGCAGAACTGGCCTTTGGGCAAAGAAAAAGGTCATACCTCAAACACTGACAGAATTACAGAATATCCGTAAATGGATAAAAGCAGGATTGTCTTATCTTGCCAAGACAGGGTGAGAGAGTCCTAAAAGGTTTCTTGCCTTTGAAAAATGGCATGTCAGTTACATCAGGCCTTAGCCAAAGTTGGTTGATTCAACATTGCATATGAGACTTTGGGTGATTACCCAGGTATTCAGTTGCCTCTTCCATTTGTTGCACATTTCGGAAGTTTTCCACTTGTACTTCCGGGCTGCTTGAGTAAAGTTATTTCCCTTCTCAGATCTTTGATGGAGTTGAAGATTAGATAGTTGTAGTTACCATCTTCATTATTTAGACTCCCTGAGATAGAATGTTTAGTAAAACTTTTGTTATATGTTTCTTGCTTAATATTGCTTATTGTTTGTAACTTTATATTTATTATTTGCTTCTATTGTATATAGTTGTGTTTGGTTTGGTTCTGTCTTATTTTAGAAAAAAGGGGGAGATGATAGGGGAGTTCAGCCAATCACAATCTGTTCGTGGGGCATGTCGCCCTTAGGCTAAACCTATAAATTTGGCGAGTGCGCTTCCGCTAGTTCTCTCTCGCCTGGCTCCTGCTTACGGACGAATCGTTTGGATTCTGGTGTAAGCTGGTGTAAGTCTTACTTTTGTTTATTAAAGCTGTATATTTTGTATTAAGATAGTCTGGGGACTTTTCATTACCGATCGCCCTGCAGCATCAGTGGATCACCCACATGGTGGGTCACCTGCACAGTTATTATCTGCAGAACGGGGGCAACTGCTGTTTTACTTCTAGTCTTTTTCTGAAGTTAGGTAGGATCTGTGTTTATTTGGAGGATGTATGTAAAACACCATGAAAAGCTGAAGACAATGTGTAGTCAGCACAAAAGCAGCCTCTATCCAAGAGCATGCAGACCTGTGGTTACAGAAACCACTGTCTGAGAGCTGCAGACCTGGGTTACTGCAGCCACTGTCCGACAGCTGCAGGCCTGAGTTACTGACAGCTGCAGTTACAGCTGCAGCCACACATATTGTGGATCTGGATTCGACATCTACTTAACAAGATGAACTCCAGAGCCACACCTATTCACACAACGCCAAGCAAAATGAACAAGACCAAGTGTAAGAAGTTGGGGGCAGTGCCAACTAAAAAAAGAAGAATCTAGTTTCAAGGGCTCTTTTAATCCCTCAAACACAGAAAAACATAACTTGTTTTTTTAATACAAGATCCAGTGTGTGTTAAAATGAAACACATCAATGCTCCCAAGTTTTGAGACATGTTTATATATGTTGGGTCAAGAATTTTAAATCAATCAAGTTTCCTTTGTTCTAAAGCTTAGTTCAGATTCTAGCAGAGCCTATCAGAGTGACCTTGAGATGTGGAACAAGGAAGGAAGCATTTCCTCCCCTGTGATCACGTTTTCACCAGCTCAGACATCTTGGAAAAATATCAATCTATGTCTTTCCGTGATTCTTTCTCAGAGGATCCAAACTTTGGGCACCATCGGCTACCCAGGAAGTTATCTCGGGGAAGCTCTGTGTTGTGAGAACCTTGGAGGCTGTGTCTTCATGCCAGCCTTTGCTTCTCGTTCTCGAGAGCCAACAATCCTCGCTCCAGACTGTCGTATTTCAGCCGTCAATGTCTTTGGAGACCTTCATAAATGTCACCAGACTATTTTTAGATTGAGAAGGAAAAATATAAGGCTTATTTGACAAGAGTATTAAGAATATATGAGAAAAAGCTGCATCAAAGATGAGATAGCTTGTGGTCTAAGTTTGTTACCACCCAGTCTCCAAACAGTATCTGTCAGGGCTGCATCTCAGATCACATGTTATCAAGTCCTCAGAACTCAGAAATGGGTTAAAGAGTCTTCAGTTCCCAGATAGGCAAAATTCACCCATGGTGTTAGGATCCAGGGCCTTGGCTCCTTCCAGGGGAGTGACAACCTGCAGGGACAGGCAGGGACTATTCATGTTGGGGCTTTGACTCACGATCCAAGGGTCAATTACGTGGGTATCCACTTTGTGAAAGTTATTCTATCTATAAACTTAAGATTGTAATGCTTTTCATTGCAATGAATGATGTCAAAAACTTGACTCTATGGCTGGAGAATGTCACAGTGGTTAAGAGCACTGGCTGCTCTTGAATCAGTTCCCAGCACGCACATGGCAGCTCACAACCCTAACTCCAGTTCCAGAGGACCTGATGCCATGCCTTCTTCTGACCTTCTGGATATCAAACAAACGTGGTTTTCTGCAAACATACATGCAGACAAAATATTCATACACACAAAACAACTAAACAAATCTTTTAAAAGGTCAAGGAGTCGGTAGCTATTAATTTGGCATATCAAAGAATGACTGTCTAGGGACCGAATCCATTAGCAGCCAAGCATACAGCAGCACTTCTGATTGCAGGCTAACCCTTAATACTTCAAGACTGCTACTTTGGTGAAAAGTCCCTGAAGTTATTTTTCAGCACTTTATTCAAAGCAGGTTCCTGAACACATGGGGGGATCTTGGTTCTGGCCGTAACCACCCTCATTTCCATTTCTCGTATAATGACACCAAGCCAGCCATGGGTTTCGAGATGTCCTTTCTTCAGACAGCAGCAGAGTGACCGAGTGCATTGCAGATGCTAATGTCTTCATAATGGCCATTGCCCGTTACGCACTCTAATAGGATAATAGGAAGTTCAATTTTATTTTCAAAGTCACCCTTTAAATTATTGTTTGGTAGCAAAGAAACTTCGTTCTTAAGTTATTCCTTTAAAAAAAAAAAAGACAGACAGGCTCTTCTTGCTCTGTAGGTAGGTCAGGTTGGCCTTGAATCTGCAATTGTTCTGCCTCAGGCTCCACACTAGGAGATTACAGGATGTTCTACCACGCCTCGCTCAGCACGCTCAAATGCACAGACAGGCCTGAAAGTACAAGTCTGTAATCCTAGCTGCCTGGGCGCTGAGGCGGGAGCACCCCAGGTTCAAGGCCTGCCTTGGCTATAGAGTGAGTTCAAAGCTTCGCGGAAGGTGGCTTAACAATGCTGTCTTTGGAGCCCTACCCGACAATGTCAGCTAGTCTGGCCTCTGGTGACCCTCGGCGGAAAGGGAGTCTGTAACAGTTTCTGATTCTGTCTTGTCTCCCATGGCAACCCTCCCCTCTCACATGGGGAGCGCAGGGCTGGACACCTACACGGCTGGTAAGGCCGAGGCAGAGTGCAGCGATAGTGAGCACCCAAGTCCCCACAAAGACAAAGCATGAATGTAGCACGTCAGTTTGTTATTCTAGAATTAATATAAATTATTGCACTTACTAGGCGCATGTTGAAAAGTTCCATCTGCCTCAAGGGTTAGCTATCAAAGACATTTCCCTGGTTAAGGGAATGAAGCAAATCATGAAAGGTTTAAAAAATGAGGCACACAGACACTTCCTACAACTAAAAGCTATGGTACAATGGCATGTGCAAAAAAAAAAATCAATATGTGGTAAAATTTGCCTAATATAGAGGGATGGGTCATGTCCAGGTCCCAGCACCCACATGGTAATTCACAGCCATCGGTATAGCTCAAGTTCTAGGGGACCTGACACCTTCTTCTGACCTGGGGCACCAGGCAAGCAGGTGGTACACATATATAAATACATGGAGAGATGACTCAA